AAAATGCAAAATGTGACAAAACATCCTAACTGTATTACAAATGTAGGAAAAATCTCACTGAAGGGGGTCAGGGAAGTCATGCTGACCTGAGAAGGAGGAAGGGAGGGAGGGAGGGAGGGAGGAAGGAAGGAAGGAGTGGGGAAGGAAAAAATGAGAGAAACTCTCATTGATGGGCGTATGTTAAAAAGACAGGTCCAGGGCTTCCCTGGTGGCGCAGTGGTTGAGAGTCCTCCTGCTGATGCAGGGGACACGGGTTCGTGCCCCGGTCCGGGAAGACATGCCGCAGAGCGGCTGGGCCCGTGAGCCATGGCCGCTGGGCCTGCGCGTCTGGAGCCTGTGCTCCGCAATGGGAGAGACCAAAACAGTGAGAGGCCCGCGTACCACAAAAAAAAAAAAAATTATGGATCAAAAAAAAAAAAAAAAAAAAAAAAAAAAGACAGATCCATAGGAGCCAACTTAAAGAGCTCCCAAAAGCTAAAGGTGAAACAATTTGAGCAAGAAGATAAAGTACACTGGATTATAAACTAAAATAAAATAAAAAAATATTATTTGTAACTCAATGCTGATATAAATAATTAAATGAAAGGGAAAAGACAAATCTCCCATGCAAAATTCCAAATAATGTATGTAACTACTATGCCTTAGAGGAGGTGTAGTATGAATTCCCACTTCTTCTGTGTGGGTTGTGTGTAGTTACTTCTTTGCAAAGAATATAATCTGGAAATGGGGTAATAAAGAGTAAATTTGCAGTGGAAATACCTCAGCCAGGTGATCAATATTAACATCAAAAGTGATAAATTACCTTGATAATAGGCACCCTTGATATGATGTGATGCAAGATACTGTATCTCTGTGATCTTAATCTCAAAAAACAATATTACATTCTAATAATAAGAAAAATATTAGATAAATACCAACAGAGAGATATTCTACAAAATATCTGACCCATACTCATCAAGCTTCTCAAAGTCATCATTAACAAGGAAACTCTGAGAAATCAACGTAACCCCAAAAAGCCTAAGGAGATATGGCTACTAAATGCAATATGGTATCCTGGATGGGAACCCGGAGCAGGAAAATGACATTAGGTTAAAAACTGAGGATATCTGAATAAGGAATAGGATTTGGCTAATAATAACATATCAGTATGGTTCATTAATTATAAAAAATGTACCATAATAATGTATTTATAACAAGGGAAGCTAATTGTGAGTATAGGGACATTTTCCATAATATCTTTGCAATTATTCTTGAAATCTAAAAAATTTACTTTAAAAAGTCAAAAAGGTATTAGTTAAATAAGTAAATTAAAATGTGGGCAGGGCATGAAATATTAGAAATCTCTTACATAGGATTATGAGTAATCTAGTTTTGTACACTTGATACTATATGTATATATATACTGATATAGTATATAGCTGTATTGGGCAAATATAAGCACAGAATTATGGCTGAGGTAACACTGTTATAACTCAAAAATTAACATTCATTTCAAAGAAAAACAATCATATGGAATAAAACATGAATGAATTCAGCTTTCATAATTTTATGCCATAGTAACAAATAACCTCAATATTATCACAATTTAGAAAAACAAAGTTTATGTCTCAAAAAAAATTATACAGCTGTGGTTGGGTAACAGTGTAGCTTCATGCATTTATATTCTTGTACCTAGACTTTAAGTAGTCATGCCTTTCTAGCCAAATAAAATAAATGAAATAAATCACTGGCCAATGATTAGCGATGTTGAGCATCTTTTCATATGTCCAGAGAAATCTTTATTCATATTCATAAGGAGGAAGTGTAAAATTATTAATCATAGATAGTAACAGCAAAGCATCAGATACAATTTATGCTTCCATCAATGTGAAATTAAATGTGTACAATATGATGAATGCACATTATGGCACAAGCAGTGTGCACACAGTCACATAGATTTTTTTGCTTTTTTTTTTTTTTTTTTAAATCATTGAGTAAAAGGACTAAAATGCAAAATTACATCTATGGCATAATGCCATTCCTGAAAGTTAAAAATAAATGTATATTTGAATAAAAATAAATATATGAATGAAGGAATTAGACACATTAGATTAGGTGCCTGTAAAAGGGGAAGAAAATAGGATTGGTGAATTAAATCAAATAAAAGCAATGATGAAAAAGAAAGGAAGGAAGGAAGAAATAAGTGAAAAATAGGTAAAAGCTCTGGATAAAAGCATGTTAAAACCTTCATATTCAAAAATCACAAATAATATATTACTATTAAATTGAATTTAATAGTGGGATGAATTAGGAGATTGGGATTGACATATATTATTGATACTATGTATAAAATAGATAACTACTGAGAAGCTACTGTATAGCACAGGGAACTCTACGATGACCTAAATGGGAAGGAAATCCATAAAAGAGGAGATATATGTATACGTATAGCTGATTCACTTTGCTGTACAGTAGAAACTAACACAACATTGTAAAGCAACTATACTCCAATAAAAACTAATAAAAAATAAATACAAATTAAAAAAAAAAAAAAAGGAGCAAAGATGCTGACAACCCAAAAGTCCTTTAATGGAAGAATAAACAAATTTTGGTGTATTGATGCAGTGAATTCTACTCATCAATTAAAATAATTCAAGGTACATGCAACAATACAGATGAATCTCAAATGCATCATGAGTGAAAAAATTTAGATTAAGAGTACATACTATATGATGCCATTTATATAAATAACAAAGACAGCCAAAATGAATTTATGGTAAGAGCTTATTTCAAATTGAGAATTGACTGGAAAGGGACATGAGTTAAAATTTAGCGTTAAATAACTGCTCTAAATCTTGTTTTGGGTGATGATAACAGGTTTCTGTAATTGTCAAGACTCGTCAAACTGAGGATTTAAGGTCTGTATCTTAATAAAAATAACTTATTTCATGAGATATACATGTATTTACCTCAGTTTAATGTAAAGGACTAGAAATTATTTAGAATTTAAAAATTTGTGGGCCACTGATACTTAATTATAATTAATAACTGTAATTATTTTCACAAATATATTATTTTGCCTAACAGTGATAGTAGGAGGTTAGATCTATCTGCAGATAGTGTGTATTTTATACTGGTGCTTCTGTTTTAATACTGAAAATTGTTACTTCTATTGTTAACATTGCAAGATAAATATTTTCAGTACTGTGGCTGTTGGCTTAGCCAGGCAGAACAAGTAAATTTGCATGTCTAATTCAAATGACATTTTGAAATATTTCTGGCTCCTGTTTTTCATATAAAATTGACATTTTACTGTAATTATGTAAATACAGTTTTCTAGTGAGAGTTCCTGTTTTGTTTATACTTTAAGGAATTTTATTTTAAAAAATTAATCCATGGTAATCTCTTTAATTGAGAAAGAAAATAGATGTACTGTATTAGCTCCTAGAATGTTAAAATATGAATATTAACTTCTGTATTGCAATTTGTTTAGTTTAACCTCTGAGTTTATTTTATTTTTTCCAAAATGCGCTTAATTAAACACTATGTGAAATTTTTATTCTAGTTCTAAGTCACATAGACACAAATTTAAATTATCTATTTACTGAAGGGCAAAACATGCTCAGTCATATTATTGTACTTTGCCAGTTCATATAATTGTGAATAATAAAATCTGTTATTACTAGTTTCAACATAGAAAATTCTACCATGCCAAGGTACAATAGGGAATTTATAAAAAATACTTTTGAGAATTGCCTGGTATTGCTGTTTTCAGCAACATAAGGCATTTGCTATTCTGGAAAAAAAAATCTCATTTTAAAAATTGAGATATTCTGGAAAAATGAAAAGAAACATAACCTCAAGCATGAGCTGCTCTAGAATGCCTTCTAAAATTCAGTAATAAAATTCTTGTGTTTTAAGAAAACACAATGTTAGGTTTAGGGATAATTAGAACTGAGATTAGCCAACATATGCACAAAAGTTATTTCAAAAACATGGGAAGATTGGTGAAAAGATAAAAACAGCAGAAATAAGTGCAGAAAACTTGGATATTAGAATTTTAAATGAAAACCATTTTAAAAGCAAGTAATGATTTTATCAGAGAAATATAATAATATCAAAATACTATACATTTAATATTAATATTAAATTTACACCTACACCAAGGTAAGCTGACACCAAGTAATACCAAGCAAAATAGACATTAAGACAAAATATATTGTTCTATTTATAGAGGATGTACACAATGAAGCACAATTTATTCACCACCCCAAAATATAAAGTTATTAAACTTACAGGTACTAATAACATAGCTCCAAATTTCACAAAGCAAATAACATAGAAATGAAATATAAGTTGACAGTTCCAAAATGACTCTAGTAGTTTTAAGAAACATCTCTTCTAGCACAATCAGACAAACTTATGAGGATATTTAATGATGTTTTGAATGGCAAAATTAAGCATTTTTACCTAAAATATATGTGTATATATATATATATATATGGTCCTGGTACTATCAAGTCCAGGCTCCCAAAATAAACATAGATCTTTTACTAACACTGATCCAATTTCAGGACAGAAATAAAAGACATGTACAAGACGTATAGGGAGAAACATTAAAGGAAAATATACATTTTTGGTTTTGGTTTCAGTCGGAGCTCAGGGAGAGGACTGGGGTTGGCGACTTGAACATAGCCCGAAGGGGTTAGTGCGCCACGGCTAGCCAGGAGGGAGTCCGGGGAAAAGTCTGCACCTGCTGAGGAGGCAAGAGACTTTTTCTTGCCTCTGTGTTTTCTGGTGCGCGAGGAGAGGGAGTTTTAAGAGCGCTGCCTAAAGGAACTCCAGAAACGGGCGCGAGCCGCGGCTAAAAGTGCGGACCCCAGAGACAGGCATGGGACGGACGCTAAGGCTGGTGCTGCCGCCCCCCAGAAGACTGTGTGTGGCACCCGGAGGATCAAACTGCAGATCCCCCGTTCGGCCCCGCCCAAACCATAGGCCACACCCCTCACGCCCCGCCTCTCCTACCAGGCATCGCAGAGCTCCGAGCAGAGAGGCTGTGTCTGGCGTACCCCTAATAGCAGCAGGTGGAAACGACTGCGGAGGGCAACCTGGAGGTGTCCCAGGAAGGATTCACACCTGGACATCGGGAGACACAGGCCCAGATAGGTCAAGATGCGCAAGGGCTCTGTCCCCTGATCGGGGCAACTGGAGCAAAGAACACAAGGAAACACTGGAAGTGGCTGTACTTACCCGGGGCTCAGCACCCCACAGCGCCCTGAGACGATCCCAGGGTCCGATGCCTCTGGTGTGTTCATCTCTGAGAGACAAGAGGGTCATGGAGAAGGGGACTCCAGTGAGTTGCCATCTTGGATCCTCAGGTAGGGCTGGGGAACCAAGGCTTGGGGTTCCTCTGAACGGGGAGACCCTAATTATATATGTTCTCTCAAACATAAAAGTTAAAGACACTTCGCTTGGGATGCAAATGGAGCTTCAAGAAATAATCACTAATCATAATCAGCTTATCATTTATGACATCCCTGGTGGTGATATAAATTCTCATATACTTACATATACTCTTTTACAACATCCTTATGAGGTAGGTCTATTATTTCCCCTCCTTTCTTAATGGTCCACCTGAGGCTCAGAGAGGTTAAGTGATTTGCCCAGGGTCACACAGCTATGAAGTGGCAGAGTTGGGATTTGAACCAAGGCAATTTGTGCTGTTTAACCACCACTAGACCCAGGTGCCTCCTCCGGTCACCCTAAACCCCTCTCCAAAGGAAATTCTGGCACTGTTATGGTTGAGTTGGGGTTTCTGGTTGTTAGAGTTTAGGCAAAGTCTGGAATGCTTACCTGCCAGGTGCAGCTGGCTTGTGCCCAAATTGGTCGCCAGGCCTATGGTGCTCTGGGATCTAGCTGGGAGTGGGTGGCTCCCTCCACAAGCCCCCAGCAGGATCCATGCCAGGGTCAGTTGCAGGGCCCAGACCAAGCCCCTGGGTCGAGTGCAACCCCTGCAGTTTCCTATTTCCTCCTACTTCTACTAATTCTCTCTAATTTCTCTCCCTTTTATTCTCAGCCGAGTGGATGAAAGGCTCTTGCTGCTCCAGCCAGGAATCAGGACTCTGCCTCTGAGGT